ACTCTTGACTCTTGAATGTCGTTCTTGGGTAAAATCATGCTGTTCTCTTCAATCTTGACAGTAGGAATGTCTCAAAACGACATGGGTAAAGTGGCGACGTTAGCAAGTTTGTGGACCGCAAAGAGTCAAAGTCGCGTGATCTTATTAACCGACAGGAATTTACAAGGCGACATCCATGGGAATTCAACCGATAATGATACAAGTTTGTGTTTGAAAAATAAATATTAACGGGTTCAAAACAGCCAAATATATTTCAATCTTTTCTTTTCGAATGAGAATTGCTGAAATCACAATTGTTTGGTGTTCTTCCGAATTCGGCCGTTGGCGGTCCTCGTCGGTAATTGTCTTTAAGCGTGCACATTCTGCCGATATCGATGGCCGATTCAGTCGGATTTGCAGACGACCAGAAAACTACTTGGAAAAGTGTATTTCATAACAAAAAAAAGATTTATCCGTATATAAGATTGAATCTTTTCTGAAACTTATTGTTGTGAAAACAACATCGTTATATTCAAATTAACGTTACGGTAATAATACCTGTTCTGCCCATGCCAGGTGATCAACGTGTCGGCGCGCAGATCTCCCCGTATTCGAGGTGTCAGTCAACGCTTACGTTATATTTGCGACATGCTTTCTTATTAATTCTATGTGTTGGCATGTCTACCTGAACAGCATGTATGTATTTACACCTGGTCATTGTTTATTATTTTGATTGACAGGTGGAAATATATCCGTTTTAGCTTGGTCAATGATTTTATCGGCAAATGATCATACAGAATGATGGGTGACTTTCATGTCTTTCTGACATATTTCTATTTTTTAATTTCAAATTAGAAAGAATAATAGTAAAATGGTGCGCCATTTATGATTTTTGTAATGTTTATCATTATTTCTGGCAATTTTACATCGGAGAAGGGGAAATAACTCTTCTCAGAAACGGTCCTATGCGTAGTAATAGACCTTTATCATTTAGAGGTAGACCTAGCACGGAGCGTGGAGATAGAGACCCAGACAAGCAAAATCATTTTATGCTATTCTTAGAAGACTGGTCTAGGGATCATTTCAGGGGAGTGAATTTTTGGATTTCTATACTACTGCGATCAACTCTAGCAAGCACCGAGTCTTTGTTTTCAGTATAACCCATAATTTAAAAAAACCTTTTCAGAAAAAAAACCCCAGTAAGTTGAGATTCAGCTAAGAGAAGTTTATCAGTTGTACATGTAATGAAAATCAGGGGATGTTACTGTAGGTAAGGAGCACTAAAAGACTGATCTCTAGTGTTTTGTCGCAAGCAGGGGACAGGAATCCTTAATACAGATGAAATGAAAAATAATTTTGAGATGTTCCCTGATTTTACTACTATCGGCGTCCATCTCTGTCTCCGTGGTAGGTATGCCTCAAAATGAGAAATGTCTTATATGAAGTGGTCATTGTGTGTGAAATCAGCTGACTGGTTGCGAAAAGAATCGTTGTATTCGTAGTGTATTCATAGTCTAATGGCAGTTGTTTTCAGTTGGTAGATTCATGTACAGAACAAACATCAAGAATGTAAATATATCCAAATGGGTAATATTTTGTTTATATCTGAAAGACTTCACTGTCATGAGAAAGTTGGAGACGATGATGATATGGAAATAGTAAGGTTTTGTGAATGAGGTTAATGACTTAAAAAATATGAAAGATTTTAAGATGACAGATGACTTGGATGATGAAGTTGTTATGGCAATATTTAGGTCATGATGATGATGATGATGATGATGATGATGTCTTCATTGAGATAATAATGTCACTGCAATATTATTAAGGTCATAGTTATTGTGATTGAGATGATTTTTTGGTGATAATGAGATGATGATGATGATAATGATGATGATGATGATGATGATTGACAACAATGATGTGTCTGTTCTGCAAACTTCTAAGGATGAAAAAAGCAGGTTCTTGAGTTGTTTCCGTTCCCTCCAATCTTAGAGCGTTATTTCTAAGCTGGGCTGAGTACTAATGGGATCCTTGGATGAAGAAGAACCAATTTTGTATAAATGGTGGGTCTGGCCCCCCAGGGGCCTGAGGGGCGGGGCCAAATAGGGGAAATATAGCAAATCTTCTTTAAAAGTCTTCTTCTTCTGTAGGAATGGAAGGATTTGTTCCATATTTGGTCAGAAGCATCCTTGGGGAAAGGGGAAGAAAGTTTGTATAAACCATGGATCTGGCCCCCCTAGGTGCCTGAGGGGCGGGGTCCAATAGGGGAAACTTAGCATTTTTTTTTTTTAAATTCTTCTTCTGTAGGAATGAAAGGATTTGGTCCATATTTGGTGTGGAGCATCCTTGGGAAGTGGGGAACCAATTTTATATAAAGCATAGGTCTGGTTCACCAGGGGCCTGAGTGACGGGGCCCAATAGGGGAAACATAGCGAATTATTCTTTAAAATCCTTCTTCTTCTGTAGGAATGAAAAGATTTGTTCAATATTTGGTCTGAAACATTCATGGGTGAAGGGGAACCAATTTTGTATACATCGTGAATCTGGCCTCCGAGGTGCCTGAGTGGTGGGGCCCAATAGGGGAAACATAGCAAATTATTCTTTAAAATCCTTCTTCTGTAGGAATGAAAGGATTTGATCCATATTTGGTGTGGAGCATCCTTGGGTAGTTGGGAACCAATTTTGTATAAACCATGGGTCTGGCTCCCCAAGGGGCCTGATGGGCGGAGCCCAATAGGGGAAATATAGCAAATTATTCTTTAAAATCCTTCTTCTGTAGGAATAAAAGGATTTGTTCCATATTTGGTCTGAAGCATCCTTGGATGAAGGGGAATCAATTTTGTATAAATCAAGGGTCTGGCCCCCAGGGGCCTGAGGGGCGGGGCCCAATAGGGGAAACAAGGCAAATTATTCTTTAAAATCCTTCTTCTTCTGTAGGAATGAAAGGATTTGGTCCATATTTGGTGTGGAGCATCCATGGTTAGTGGGGAACAAATTTTGTATAAACCATGAGTCTGGCTCACCAGGGGCCTGAGGGGCGGGGCCCAATATGGGAAACAGCAAATTATTCTTTAAAATCCTTCTTCTTCTGTAGGAATGAAAGGATTTGGTCCATATTTGGTCAGAAGCATCTTTGGGGGAAGGGGAACAAAGTTTGTATAAATGGTGGGTCTGGCCCCCCTGGGGCCTGAGGGGCGGGGCCCAGTAGGGGAAATATAGCAAATTATTCTATAAAATCCTTCTTC